TTTCAAAATTGTTAAAGCTATTCTAGGTCTTGGCCTTTCAATACAAATTTTAGAATTGGTTATTCTATATCTACAAAAATTCCTAATGGTATTTTGATAAGAATTTCATTAAACCATACTTTGTGAGAATTAATATCTATTGTATGGAGCCTTCCAATTTTTGAACACAGTATTTTCATTTATTTGGTTTTTCTTTCATCCGCATCTTATACTTGTTATCATTAGAGATTGTGATATATTCTGTTGGATTTATAGCATTGAAATATGTCAGAATTTGCTTTAAGTCCTTTGGTTATAGATCCAGGAGAGGGATAACTGGGTCAAATGGTGATTCCAGTCCTAGTTTCCCAAGGAATCTCCATACTGCTTTCCAGATTGGCTGCACCAATTTGCAGTCCCACCAGCAATGTGTGAGTGTGCCTTTCCCCCAACATCCTCGCCAACATTTGTTGTTGGTTGTATTCTTGATAGCTGCCATTCTGACTGGTAGATCATTTTCATTTAATATAATTCTTACATGTTTGTTTCCAGTGTTTTCATTTCCCTACTTTCTCTGGTTTTTTTTTTTTTCTGCTTTTATAAAGCTACTTGAGTATTTTTAGTATTATGTTTTTTTTTATCTACTTTTTTTTAACTATCTTTTTGTATAGTTTTTTTTTTTTTTTAGTGTTTGCTCTTTGGATTATAAAATGCTTTTCTCAGTGTTTTTAAGATAATATTTCACCACTTGAGTTGGAATATGCAACCTGGCCACATCGTTGGTTTCTTTGTCCTCCCTGCTTCATGTTCCGATTGTCTTCTTTTTTGTACTGGGGATTGAACTCGGGGGCACTCAACCACTGAGCCACATCCCCAGCCCTGTGTTGTATTTTATTTAGAGACGGGGTCTTGCTGAGTTGCTTAGTGCCTCACTTTTGCTGAGTCTGGCTTTGAACTTGTGATCTTCCTGCTTCAGCCTCCTGAGCCACTGGGATGACAGGTGTGTGCCACCACACCTGGCTTCCAGTTGTCTTCTATGCTACATGTACATACACTGAAAATCTCATAATTCTTGCTATTCTATCATGAAAGGCAAAGAGAACATTTTGTTAATTTACCATTTCTATTGCTCTTCCTTCATCCTGAGGTTCCTTTCCTTATATTTTTCTCTGAGGAACTTCCTTTATTTTAGAGCAGCTCTGTTCATCTAAAAAAGTCTTTATTTCACCAACATTCCTGAATGATAGATCATTCCCGAGTCATATTTTCTATATACAGAATTACAGTTTGATAATGCATTTATTTTAGCATGTTAAAGATGCTCCACTTACTTTCTTTTGGTCTTGATGGTTTCTCATGAGAAATCTATAGTAATTCAAATCATTGTTACCCTTGAATTCATGCATCTTGGTTTTTCTGTCTGCTTTCAAGATTCTTTGTCTTCAACAATTTTGTTTATGACAAGTTTTAATCCTGACTTCTTTGGATTTTTCTTGTTAGTGATTTACTCAACATTCTTTGATCACTAGGAATAGTTTTTGCTATGGTTTATTCAGATATTTTTTTTCATCCATTCATTCTCGGTCTTCTCATTCTGTAGCTCCAGTGGTACAAACTTTTGTCATTGCCCCACAAGTTCGTGACAGGCTATTCATCTGTGGCTACAATATCTTTTCTCCGTGTTGCTCAGATTGGGTGATTTCTATTCATCCATCTTCAAGTTCCCTGACTCTGATCTCCATGTTACCATTCAGTCAGTCTAGTGAGGCTTTCCAAGGCCCAGTTTAGTTCTCAAATATCCATTTGGCTTATTTTTGCACCTTCTATATTCTCACTGATACATTCTCCTCTAATGCTTCTTTTAAGAGTACCAGTGCTTGTTTGTATTTTTATAACAATTTAAAGTCTTCATCAGATAATTCTAACATCTGTTATTGTGTTTACTGTGTTGAATTGATTGCCTTATGTGACTGAGATGTTCATGGTTATTCAAATGCCAGTTAATTTTGAATTTTACCCTGGTCATTGTGTGTGTGTTTCTTCTTCTCCTCCCCCCCTCCCCCTCCTCCTCCGTTTTTGTTTTTTACAATGCTGGTTATCAAACTCAGGACCTTGAGCATGCTAGGCAAGTGCTCTACCATTAAGCCCTATCCCAGTCATTTTAAATATTGCAGTATAAGGCTCTCTCTTGTTGAAACCCTATTGAGAATATTGATATTTTTGTTTAAGCAAGCAATTATGCTGGCTAGTTTCAGCTGCAGGTTGGAACTGCCATTTTGAATGTCTCACAGGATTTACAGTGTTGTGTGCCTCTATCTAGTATGTCCCTTCCCCAGGGGTCAGTCTGGGATGTGGACAGATATATCTGTTAGGTCAGTTCTCCAAGTCTTGGGTCTGCATTTAGGACTAGGCTGTGGATGAGCCCAGGGATTCCATACACAGTAGTACTGGGTTGCATTCCTAAGCTCTTCCTCAGGAATCTCCCCAGTACTTTCTGGTTTCCTGGGTCTCCCATTTTCTGTCTGGGGAGAAGCCTCCCCTTTCCACAATTGCACCATATCTGTTACTAACACTGGAAGAGCAGAGAGGAGGAGTTCTGACTACAGATTCCTGTTGCTGGTTGCTATTGCTGCCACTGCAGCCCCCGTAGATTTGCCCAGGTCCTAGGGTAACCACAATGGAGGAAGAGGAGCAAGGTGTGGGGGTTCGTCTACTCTAGGAGCTCTGGGGAGTTCCCTTTCCACTCTTCCAGCTGGGTTTTCCCTGGATCCGTGTCTGCCCACTCTTGCCTCCCCTCTGGGCTGTGGGTTTGCTGAGGCTGGGCTGGCCTGCACTGGAGACAAGTGATAAACTCTCCACCAGGCAGGTGCTTTGAACTCAGGGTTCTCCCCAAATTGGCCTATTGCTGTTGACCTTCTGGCATTTTCAAATAGCTGGCCTGTGCATTCTCCCTAGGTTTGATAGTTGCATTCAGAGGGACAGACAGGGTGGCATGTGTTTTCTCTGTCTTACGCAGAAGTGGAACCTGATTGATATAATTTAAAGATTTTATTTTCTAATGTACTTTTTGTACACAGGACAGGAGTTGATGTCTAACTGTAGAGTTCAGCTGCATGGTCAGATCACATGGTTTAGTGCTTGGGGCTCTGTTAATGCCTTACGTTTATGACACTGCATATGATGCTCTTTTGGTCTCTTCCTTGGATTGCATGCTTCTCACCGTAGTTTTCGATTGGCACCTTCTAACCAACCTTGTAGGTAAAAGTTCTCTTATTTCTTTGAAAATTGTAGGGTGACTTCCTTGGAGTGTGGCCTCTGCACACATCCCCATGGCAGGCCTGGCTGGGTCCAGGAGCCTAGGTGTAGCTCAGCTGAGCTGTCTGAGGCAGTCTGAGAAGTCAGGTGGGAATCTACACAGAGCTCTGATGTGCAGTGCACCTTCAATATAGGTTTGTGCTTACCTCAGACTTCTGAAACTCCAGATGACATTCTCAAACAGCAGTCTTCTGAGCTCACCAAGTTGAGTGTAGATTTGATAACAAATTTACATGCAGTTCTTTTAAGATGCAAATATTTGCAGAAATCACAGCTGATGCCAGTTGAACTGGGAGCTGGTCTCTGGCACACTCACGAAGTAGGAAAGGATCTTGGGGGAGGTGCAAATTCACTCACATGGAGTTTAGGGTCCATGTTAAGGCTTAATTACCCCGTGACCTTCTTGAGAACAAGGGAGATGCTAATCCAGCCTAGGTGGCTGTGATCAAGTGGAGAGACACAGAACACTTGGGCAGTGAGGTCAGCTGAGGCCAGCCAGGGCCAGCTTCATGGGGAGAGGATCAAGTGAATGTGCATTCTTGTAGTGGGCCCTGAAGTTCGCTAGGCCTCCGTGACCTGATTACCTAGAAAACATGGCATGTACTCACCTTGCAAGGTGAGGCTGCTGGGAAGGTTAAATGAGAACATTTGGAAACTGCAGAGCCCTCTGAAACGGAAAGTGCCACACAGTGTTTATCATAACAATATTAAGCTAACAATCAAAGACTGAATTAAGAGGAGCAAGTCTTGCGGGTGTGGTGGTACACACCTGTAATCCCAACAAATGGGGACACTGAGGCGGTAAGATTGCAAGTTGAGACCAATCTCAGCAATTTAGTGAGACCCTCGACAACTTAGAAGTTGAAAAGTATTTTAAAAGGTGCAACATAAATAAATGAAAAGGCCTGGGGACACAGCTCAGTGGTAAAGTGTCCCTGGGTTCACTCCCCAGTAACAAAATTCAAAACAAAGGATCAAGTCTAATAGTAGAATTAAAGGTTCCACCCTAAAGCTTCTGTCTCGGCCTCACAGGAGGTGGACTTGTTTCATGTAGGGGCTGAATTGAGGTCTGTGGGTGCCGAGGCTGGGTCAGTTCCCATCCAAGCCCCTTCCAGCCCTGAGAGTTTGTGACCCCCACAGGTGGGTGTAGCCGAGTCAGGAATGCCAAGTGAGCTGTTCCCAGGACTGGCGATGAGTTGGGCACACTTCCTGGGGTCTGGTTGTTTCCTCCTCTCTCAGCTCCTGAGATCCCCAGGCACTCAGAAGTATGATCCTTGTGTCCACATGAAAGGGATCATGTTAGGCTCAGAGCCCCAAGGGCAGATCTCCAGTTAGTAGCTGGCCTGCTGGGTCCCAGCACTGACAGTGGGGTTTTGCTTTAACTGGAATGTTCAGGCTTCCAGACCACAAACCATCCTGAGGGACCCACAGGGAGGAACCCACAGGTACCCACCCTGAACTGGTCAACTCCAGCCCCAGTGGACTCCCTTGTGCCCACCCCAGGGTTACATTTTCCTGCCTATATCCTCACGGTCAGTAGCACTCTGGGCTCCGGGGTTTGGGGGGGCTGAAGACTGCCTGGAGGCCCACTCTCCAGTGCCACAGGCAGCCTCATCACCACGTGGGCTGACACTCAGGGTGCCCATCCATGAGGGCGAGTCGGGATGGACCAGTTGGTTACTCTCTTCTCCTCACCTCCCTTGCAGATCACCTCCAATGAGAAGCACCTAGAAAGCCTCAAGAATGCTGGCAGCCTTCTGCAGGCTCTGGAGCAACTGGCTCCAGGTGATAGGTACGTGGGGCCCAGAAGGAGTCGAGCAGCCTGCACAGGGTTGGCAGATGCTCTCCACCACCCCTCTTCCCTCGTTTCTTCCTATATCAGGAACCAACACCTCCCACCAAGCCTGTCCTTGCCACTGAGACACTTCAGTGGGGAGGAGCTCTGTGCCCTCTACCTGCTGGGAAGCTTCACTGTAGTGGAAGGAAGAGGGGAGCAGGGATCAACATGGGGAAAGAAGGCCTAAGCCCTGCAGAATGGCGGTATCCCCACCACATGCCAGGAGGTTGGGTGGGCGGTAACCAGGTGCAGATTCAGTGAGCCTGATGAGAGGCAGTGCCTGCTGGCCTCGTACACATGCCCCCATGGCACCTCAGCCAGAGGCATTGTCATCAGTACCTTGTGGCTGACCTGCAGGCCCAGCAGGCCTGGGGCAGAACTGGCCGCTCAGCCTGCTTCACAGCGAGGATCAGCTGACTCTTGCGGGGGCGGGGGGGGGCAGATTGGGAACACACAAACAGAGCAGTCCACGCGCAGAAGCTGAGTGTGGGGTTAGGCCAGCCTCCTGTGCCTCAGCTGGACAGTCCGTGTGTCTAGAACATCCTAGAAGTAAGGTCCCTGTTAGGCCAGGGGTAGGTCTGTCCCCCAGGAGCATGTGACACACTGAGGGCAGGTACTGGCATCTCAGCCCAGGGTAACGCTGTCACTTGGCCATGAGAACGAGTCACTGGAGGACCATCCTACAGTAACATACAGCTGCCCCCACTGAACTTGCAGGGGGTGGCACGGGAGGGGTGCCCACATTCACTGTGGTCTAGCACCCATCCCTTATCAGCTGGTGGCGTGCAACTGGCCTCACTCTGAAGTCAGTGCCTCAGCGAGGCCGGGGTCGAGGGTGGTGAATGCAGCCTTCCTCCCTGTGGCCACTGCCCCCAGAGCTGAGGGAGGTGGCCAGAGGTTGAACAGGCCAGTCTCCTGATCCCAGCTGCTCTCCCCACCCTGGGGAGGACCCACGCCCTAAGGAATGCCTGACCCTCATTCAGTATGTGACATGCATCGTGCATCGCGGCGTCAGGCATTTCCTGTGGTTTCTGTTTTCTGAACCGCAGGGTTCTGTGAACTCCCTGCTCGTGTTTCGGGTTGGTACTAATTTGAGTTAATACATGGCCACCGTGTTGTTGAGACGAGTCTACACAGTGGCTCTGTGGCAGCCCGCCTGTCCCGTTGAATGCTGGATTGTGGGGAGGAGGACACCACTTCTTGGCCTGCCCCACCCCCTTTTCCTCCTCTGCCTAAAACAGATCAGTGGTTTTTCTCCAGCTTTTCCAGTGAGGTTAGGAGAGGCTGGCCTGGAGGTGAAAGGTCCCTTCCCACCTTGCTGGGCCCCTGTGGTGTCAGATGTGGATGGACTTCTGGGGCTGGGCTGCAGGCCTGCTGTGCTGGTTTGTGGGTATCCATGGATCCTGGCCTTCTGCAGAGTCGTGGTGTAGTCACCCCAAGCAGGGCACTGGGGGTGAGGGGAGCCATTGAGGAGTGGAGTTTGAGAGATAGCCCCTGAGAGTCCCAGCCCCAGCTCTCCCATGTCAACCTTTGTGGGGCTCCTCACCTAGCGGGGCCCTCTGCCTGCCCTTAAGCCAAAGCTAACACATTGTACTAAACCAATACAGGGGAGCTAGACCCAAATGTGGTTTAAATTGTCCAAATAAGGCTTAGCGCTCCACAGGTGGTGGCCTCTCCTGCACCCACACACATCACTCTAGCAACCAAACATCAACACCAGGTAGACCTCGCCTTCTTTGGACTTGGCTCAGATGGCCCAGCCAGAGTAGGTGGTAGTTCTCTCAGTTCTGATGCTGCTCTGGCAGGCCGGGTGGCAGTCTGGCCCCACCAGACCAGCCTGGGCTCAGCCAGGAGCAGGCCAGAGTTCAAAAGCATTCCCGCTGTTCCCCGGGGCCTTTGATGCACAGAGCAGGAATTCATGGCACCATGTCCTGGTTGCAGCCCCATCCCACTGCCACCCGTCTTTCATGTGGCACCCCCACCCAACCGTTTATGTGGTAACAGCTCTATTTCTGTGCTGTCAAGAGTATGCCATGAGCTAATTTTACACTTCAAGGGTCAGTGCTATGTGAATGTCATTCTTTTCTTTGCTAACAGTTGCTAAATCATAGGTTCACAAGTGTCCCAAACAATGTGCTGGGGTGACCAAGTTTCCACTTTATAAGTTTTTAATTGAGCATCTACACCTCTGAGTGCACGAAACCCGAAGCTCCTGGCTGATTGGCCAGGAACTGGCAAAATGGAGCAGGACAGGCCAGTGAGGATGCAGAGTGGCTCTAAGACCCACAAGTCTGCTCCAGGAAGGAGCTGGGAAGGTCCCCTGAGGGTGCAGGCTCAGCAGTCTGGCTGCTGTCAGGTCCTTATAGTGCAGTAGCAGTGCTCCTGGCAGAAGAAGCCAAGATGATGTGTGAGTCAGGGCCTAACTTAAGGACACCAGCATGGCCAGATCTGAGCCCCACCAGAGCTGAGCAGCAGGATTCTCACCTCACAGCTCCGGAGCAGGGGTTCTTATTTCTGCTTTCCAGAGAGGTCATGTACAGAGCTCTAGGAAGCTGCTGTCCCACTTAATGCTTAAATGAAATGGACAACCCCTTTGATCAAGGCCTTTCACCCCACACATGCCTATTAAGTCTTGTCTACTTTGGTCTTTCTCACAGTTTATCTGTTGACAGTGTGGTGGCTTCCTTGGCCCTGGAAATCCTCCAAGCCGTGGGCATGAAGCAGGAAGGCACCTAGCGCAGGCCCACTCTGCAACACCAAGCCTTGGCTGCGTGGGTAAGGTCCTCTCCCAGACATTTGCTGCATCACCAGCCACAGCTGGGCCTGGACCCAATAAAAGTCAGCTGAACCCAGAACCTGGGACTGAAGTTCTCTCACTAACTCTGGGCCCTAGACAACTGGTTCAGAATGGACTCGTTGGCTCTTGTAGGATGCAGCTGGGAAGCCCAGGTTTGCTAGCCATGACCAAGAATTCTCTCTGTGTGGCCTGAGTAGGCTTCCATTAAAGTAGGCCCTGGCTGTGCTGCTAAAGCAGGGTCAGAAACAGTTCTGGGTCTGCTTCTCTATGGGAAAGATCTTTGATCTTTTTCCCAACTGCAACTCCAGAGCACGCCTCTGGAAGGTAGTTTCAGCCCCTTGTCTTCCTCCCACTTTACCTGTCAGGACTTTTTTGTTCCAGGGACAAACTGATTTCAGTAGTCCTGGGGAGGACTGGGCAAGATTTACTAACCAGTACAGATAGGTTGAGTTTACCTACAGGAATGCAAAAGGCTCAGGAATGCTGCCTTCCTAGACAGTATGCCCAACTCAACGGGATGATGGCATCAAGATTGTTTTCCCTTACTATTACCACCTACCCACCTTATCCTGGAAAGCTTTCTAGCTTCTGCCTCATATTCTACCTGGATCAGCTTCAGGGGCTTTGTCTTGTCTGTTGGGTCCAGAGAACAGACATGGGTCTCCCTATTTTCCCAGCACACCTCCACCCCTTTATTTGTTCCTCGGGGGAACTGCCCTAGGGTTCAGGGTGTGGAGTCTTCCCAGAAGTGTTTCAGAGCAATGGAAGGTTCTTCTTTCCCCTTTTTATTTAAGCAGGGAGTAATCTTCAGTGTTGTACACAAAACAGGGAGGTTTTTTATTTTCCTGCAAGTCAAGTGCAGTTATTTGGTGTGCACTGTGAAAGGATGCAGGACTGCTGTCCTGGGGAAGGCTTACTCTTGAATCTGGAAGGTCGGGTTGGGTCTTGGACAGCTTCAACAAGTTGAGGCCATCCCTTGGCCTCTCTTGAGGCCTCATTTTCCCCATCTAAAAAATGATGTTCATCACCTTATTCAATCCCTAGTACAGCCTGCACAGCAGGCCGCCTTAGCTTCATTTCATAGATGAGAAAACACTCAGGGGGGGGGGGGTGCTGTTTTACTTGCCCACAAGGCCCCGCAGCTTGGTTGAATTCAAGACTGTGACTCTGTAACCCTTGTGTCCATCAGTAGGTATTCAGAGCTTGCTATGTGACTCAGTATATTCTATGTCCCACAGTTTCCTTTGCCCTCTCATAGTCCACTTCATGTCCATGGTGAGAAGGCCTCAAGATTTAAGCCCTGCTGTGTGAGATGCCTATGGTTCAGGCCTGATTAGATCTGTCAGAGTATGGGATCTTGCCAGAGTACGGGGTAGTTAGCGGAGCAGCCAGAGGCCTGGATCAGCTTCAGGGGCTCTGCCTGCAGATACAGGTCTCCTTGTAACTATAACACCCCCACCCCTCCTTTTATATTTGTTCCTGGGGGAACAGCCCTAAGGTTCAGGGTGTGGAGTCTTCTCAAAAGTATTTTGGAGCAGTGGAAGACTCTTTCCCCCCTTCTATTTAAGCAGGGAGTAATCTTCGATGTTGCACACAAAACAGGGAAGTTTTTGGTATTTCAAAACCATTTTGTCCAGTGGACCACTCCTGGCCAGAGCTCAACATTGCTGGCTTTATTCCCTGCCCTCCCCAAGTCCCACCATTTCAATTTACAGGAAAGAGCCTATGGCACCTCCCCGTCCCCAGGTTAAGGACCATTCTGGGTTTTGTAGTCATCTAAGCACTTCATAATTTTTTAGTTTTACCATCTATGAATTCTTTCCTTAAATAGCTTGTTCCCTTCCCCCTTTTAAAAAATTAAGTTCTATAGCATGCATTGGTAAATTGCTTTTGTTCAGTATTGTATGAAAGAGATCTTGTAATGTACCCACACCCATATTGTGTGAAACTGTGGCCCTTTTACTATATAGAATGTGTTTTGTGTGAACAAAGACACCAGGACACATGGGCTTGCAACATGGGGTGTCACATCATGCTCCACAGACATCCTGGAGTTTTGAGGCAAAACCCAAACCTGTATTGGTACTACCTTTATTTAAAACCCTGATATTTTGTGGTAATGGGTATTTTTTTGGCCATCTAATAGTTAGTTCTGCAGCTTTATGAAAGTTTTCCTCGCTGACCTATGCTACTTCCAAAGTTTCTCTGAGTGCCTACATCCTATCACATTTCTGGTGCTGTGCCAACAACAGTGCTAACTACCTCTTTATAAAGTTAGGCTTGACAGCTACTAGAACAAGCCTTCCTCTCTTTCTTCATAAATGTTTTGGTGATTAACTGCCCTTAGTGCTTCTAAGTACATTTCCAGAATACCCTGCTGATCAGAGTATTTTAAATGGAACTGCAAAAGTTCTAAGATGTTGTCTAGCTTATAAATCCTTTAACCTATTTTATAGGTGTTCCACATCTTAACAGTCTAAACACAGTCTACATAAATACTATTAATATTGACATGTAAACTCTAGATTGTCCTTCATCCTATTTTACTGCACCTATGTCAATATATTTAACTCAGTCCCCTAACACAGTTCTTAGTGTTAACCAACCTATCAGTACTGGCTGATTCTGTCATGCATCAGGCACCCTCTTTCAACCCCAATAACATTTTGTTTTTATAAAAGAAATATTTACAAAAAGTCTTCCCTAGATGAAGTTGATCTCAATGCATGTTTGTCAGATACTATGTTTTAAACATAGTAAACCAACAGGTTTCCTTACGCATGAAACAGTTTCACTTTAAAAGACTAAAAACACAAGTCTTTACAAGTCTGTCCTGAGCAATGAACCCTGTCAGACCGTGTGGAAGAAGACCTGTTTGGGCTCTCTGATTATGTTCAGATAGATAGACATCGACACTTAAACATGCTTAATTATCAGTTCAAAGTGGAGCTGAAGAAATTCCCTTCTCTGAGTCACACTTGGGTAAAGGTGCTTGAAGTTCAAATTCGTATACTTTTAAAAAGTACTTGTTACCTTAAAGAAATGAAACACCATCTAAAAAAGGGTGATTATTTGGCTTTCAGCTTTCTCTACTTCTTTTAGCTTAGTGTAGCTCAAAGACAAGGTACCCAGATACCTTTGAACTGGGGAGGCCTTTGATTACCTGAGCAAGATTAGACCCATAACTACACCAAGAGGCTAGGGTGAAGGAGTACTAGCTCTTTAGTTAGAATCACTCTTCTCTCAAAAAGCCCAGAATCAATCACAATGTTTTAGGCTGAAATACACTGGGGGTGGGGAGTAGGTGGGCATTTTAAACCCAGGGCCAAGTACTAAAGAAACTTGGCAAATAATCCTATGCAGAGGTAAGGTCTTCTCATTACAACTTAAAATTATTACTTTCACTATGTGAATTTTGCTCGGGATGAAGGTAGTCTGGGTAAACTTAAGACTCCTGTAACACTTAATGTCAAGGAAAAAAAGTGACACAATCGAATGAATTAAAAGTTTAATTCTGAACCATTTTTATAACCGTATTTTCTCTTGAAGCATTGTATCACAGCAGGTTACAACAACTTTGGGATAAAAGGCAACTGGTAAACTGTCCAAAACAAGGTTCCAAATAACACCTCTTACTGATTTACCCTACCCATACATATCCCAAATAAAGTTTTTGATCAAAAACATGAAATAGATCCACCTGCTTATTTTAAGCATATTAAAAAGGAAACTAATTGGACCATTTCTATTTGTCTATTTTATACAAAAAAGGCTACACAATGTTACACTTTCTTCAGATTACAATTAGAGTGATTATGAATTAGTGTTCTACACCATTACTCAATTCTTAAAAATTAGAAATTGCTGTAGCAGTATTCACTATAACATAACACTACAAGAGACTTAAAAAAAAAACTAACAGTTACTGCAAAAAAAAAAAAAGAAAAAAAAGAAAATTAAAGAGCTACTTCAAAGCAAGCATAGTCAGTACCATTACAGATATTTTTTTTAAAAAAAAATTTTTTAACAAGCAAGGCTAGGGTTTGATAAATTCCATCTTGTGATCCATTCTTGTGCATTCTTCACTTCTTGAGTCACTCCCAAAATCCATTTGTATTGTTACTCCTCGACCAAAAAGGACCAGAACAAAAAGTTTACTTCAATTGTTCCCATAGGAAACTCAGCTTGGTTAGTGTGTCAGGCACTTTCTGAGATACCAGCCCACCCCTCGAGCCCTCTCAGCAACTCTACAGGCCAATCACAATGCAAGTTCAGACAATACAGCTGTATAAAGAGAGAAAGGCTGCTATTAATGTTTAAAACAGCAAATATTACTCATTTGAGTATTAAGTTGCAAAAGCTGTGGCAAAAAACATTAAAGTTAATAACTTCCACACATGATCACATAACAACCAGAAATCTGAGAACATCCAAATGTTCCAAGACATCTCCTTTCAAAGTATATATCTTTGTGGCAGATTTACAAATAGGCCTAAACCACTCCCACCCTACCAACCAAGTCTTTTCTGAAGTTCTGTAGGCAGAGTAAAAGTATTTTACCCAAACTGGCTTTTTTAAACTTCTTACCTAAAGGATGATTTACAGGTCAGTATCAAACCAGGCCAGCTGATTGCTGTCACCTGGAGGCAGCCCATCCATGAGGTCCTGGGCATGTCCCAGATCTGGCAGCCCATCAACTGGATAGTCAGCACCAGGGTGATGGCCACCCATCTCATGCTCCATCATGGGGTCCATACCCAAGGCATCCTGGCCGTATCCACCAGAGTGAAAAGAGCGATAGCTGGGATCTAGAAAATTTGGGGTGGCAACAAAATGGGAGAGGAAACACACAGGTTGACATTGAGGTTAGGGCAGCCACAGTTTAGTAGCAAACTTGTCAGAAAACAGTCCTTTCCAACCTCTTGAACCTCTAGCTTTCTTGAGCCAAGCAGTGACTCACTGTAGGCCTCAAGAGCCAGGCCACCCGTGAGACCACATAAGCCATGTGTTTCACTAGAAGCACACCAGCGGTTTCAGTCATACCATCCACAAACTCTT